GGCTTCCCGGGTCTGTAATAAATCTCATCTTATGCCCTTTACATTGGAGCGAGTCTCGAGTTTGTCGGTTGGGGTTAATTTGGGAGGCTTTCTCAGACCCAACAGCTGCAGGCAGCCGGAAGGAGAGTGCAGGTCTCAAGGCACCCCCAACCCCGGCACTCAGGTCCACTGGGCGGTAGACATAAGTCCCTTGGCCAGCAAAGGAGCCAGGGCTGGCCTCCTCTGTGTACTTGTCTCACTCTCCATTGGAGAGAACATTCTGCTTCCTCCATGTGTCCCTGACAGCGTGACCTGATACTTTCAGTTCCATCAACTGACCAACACGAAGGTTTAGTCCAAATAAGGATTTTTCTGTTAACAACAGGCTCTTTCCAAGTCAAAGTTGCCCAGAAAGAAACTATCCCCAGGACTCTGGAAGAGGCTGAGAAATGGACCCTTGGAGGAGGGTGTTTGCTGTGGTCAGTTCAGCAAAGGAGGGGAGGCCACGGATTATTGGTTTGTTTTTATACTCCTGTCTCATTTCACAAAGGATGTGAAGGTAAAGACTGGTAATCTGTATTCTCTCTCCCCAGGACCCGACTGCAGAACTTTAACCATTCCTGAAAAATACATGTCTGTTTTTGGCTCAGAGATGAATAAAATGTCTCACTCCAAGAAAAGCCACAGAATCCTAGCAAACATTCTAACTTTTAGCCTCCTTCACTGTTTTAACCTTGTAAAGCATACAAGGTTTACCATGATCTATGAGCGTCCTTTCCATAATCTCTGAGGGTCCTTAACAGTCATGCTAATGCATCCTTGATCCTTGATGGAGCATCCCACCAGATGAGCCTCGAAACTCTGGGAGTTTTTTTTTGGGGGGGGGGACACCCACTTTGTTGCCCTCAGTAGAGTGCTGTAGTATCACAGCTCACAGCAAACTCAAACTCTTGGGCTTAAGTGATTCTCTTGCCTCAGCCTCCTGAGTAGCTAGGACTACAGGCACCCAGACATAATGCCCAGCTATTTTTTTGTTGCAGTTGTCATTGTTTAGCAGGCCCGGGCCAGGTTCAAACCCACCAGCCTTGGTGTATGTGGCTGGCGTCCTACCCACTGTGCTACAGGAGCCAGCCTCTTTTTCTTAATCTCTCACTCTTCTGTTATGCCCAGGAGTCTCTCAGAGAGCACACCACCAGGCAAGTCAAATTTAAAGAGGAGTCCTTTTATTGAGCCGGCAGGCGACTGCCTCAGAGTCCCAATATGGGGTTTCCAACAGCAGCCTCGAGTAGTCCAAGGCTCTGGTTTTTATAAGGCAAAATTTGTGGGGGTGGGGGCAAGCAAGCATAGTTACAGAAGTAAAAATAGCAGTTGGGGGAAATTTTGAGGGTAGGGCAGTTAGTTTAGACAAGGATATGATCAGGAGAGCAATTAGCAATTTTTCCTTTACAAAGCAGGTACAATCTACAATGCCCTAAGGAAATGTAGAGAAGGGGACTTATAGATGGGGGTTGTAAAGAGTATGATACAATGTAGGGGCAAACAAGAGGACCCAGTTTTGAAGATAGTGGAAGTGGAGTGTAACAGAAAGGGAGTGAACAGTAAAGTGAAGTCAAACTTGTCCTTTCACGTTGACAGTTCCATTCCTGGACGATGCCTGTGGCTCCATCAGTAGGGCAGCGGCCCCATATACCGAGGGTGGCAGGTTTGCACCCAGCCCTGGCCAAACTGCAACAAAAAAAAATAGCTGAGTGTTGTGGCTGGCACCTGTGGTCCCAGCTACTCAGGAGTCTGAGCCAAGAGAATAGCCTAGACCCTGGGGGTTGCTGTGAGCTGTGACAACACAGCACTCTATGGAGGGCGACGAAGTTAGACTGCCTCTAAAAAAAAAAAAAAAAACAGAACAAAACAATTCCATTCCTTTCACATACTGCTGATTGGGAAGAAAAAATGACACAGATAAAATCTAGAGCCTAGAATGTTATTGCTGCAATCTTTTTTTTTCCCAAGACAGTCTCTGTCACCCTGGGTAGAGTGCCCTGGCATCACCATAGCTCACAGCAAACTCAGTCTCTTGGACTCAAGAGATTATCTTGCCTTAGCCTCCCAAGTTGCTGAGACTATAAGTGTCCTCTACTACACCCAGTTAATTTTTCTATGGGATCTCCCTCTTGCTCAGGCTGTTCTCTAAAGCCTGAGGCCAAGTGATCCATCCCCCTTGGCCTCTCAGAGTGCTAGGATTACAGGCATGGGCCATTGCACCCAGCCACTTTTTTTTTTTTTTTTTTGAGACAGAGTCTCACTTAGTCACCCGGGATAGAGTGCCATTGCATCAGAGGTCATGGCTACCTCAAATTCTTGGGTTCAAGCAATCCTCTTGCCTCAGCTTCCCAAGTAGCTGGGACTACCAGTATGTGCCACCATGCCCAGCTAATTTTTCTATTTTTAGTAAGATGGGGGTCTCACTCTCGCTCAGGCTAGTCTCAAACTCCTGAGCTTAGTCTTCCTGCCTCAGCTTCCCAGAATGCTATAATTACAGAAATGAGCCAGAATGAAAAAAGACACCAACACCAAGATAGCACAGATGTTAGAATTATCTGCTAAGGATTTTAATGTAGCCACCATAGAAATGCTTCAACAAGCAATTGCAAAGGTCACATATGTAGGATTCCATTTGCTTAACATTCTTGAAATTAGAAGATTAGAAAGATAGAAAACATATAGTACTTTCCAGGGCATAGAGATGGAAGTCAGGATAGGAATGGTAAATAGCACTAAAAAAGGTGACAAGAATGACGTCTCTGTGATGATGATTCTGGTGACGGTTACACACACTCACACATGTGATAAAATGGCATATATGCACACAAACTGTATGAATGTCTGCTTCTTGGTTTTGATACACTGGACAAAGCAAACATGAGCTCTTAGTACTGTCTTTGTAACTTACGGAGAATCTAAAGTTATTTCAAAACAAAGTTTTTTAAAAAATTAAGAAACAAGTTAATAACCACCAAACCTGAAAAAAAAATTAGAACTAAGAGAAGGTAAATCTGAAGAACTACAAGAACTGCCTAGAACACAACACAGAACAACGAAAAGGTAAAAAATGTGAAAAAAGAGGTTACAAGGCACAGAGGACAGAAGAAGATCTAATATCTCTCTGGCATTCCAGAAGGAGAAAGTACAAGGAATAGGGGAAGAGCAAAACCAGAAGAGATACTGTTTGAAAATTTAATAGAATGTGAACAAAAAATTAAAAAACAAAAACAAACAAAAAGAACAAAAAAAGAAAATTTTCTAGAATGTGCAAAAGACATAAATGCTTAGATTTAGGAATAAAATGGTCCCAGGAGGGATACATAAAAAGAAATTCACATATGAAAATATTGGCCAGGCACTGTAGCTCACGCCTGTAATCCCAGCACTCTGGGAGACAAAGACCAGTGGATTCCTTGAGCTTAGAAGTTTGAGACCAGCCTGAGCAAGAGTGAGACCTGGTCTCTAAAAACAGCTGGGCATTGTGGCAGATGCCTGTAGTCCCAGCTACTCAGGAGGCTGAGTCGAGAGAATCACCTGAACCCAAGAGTTTGAGGTTGCTGTGAGCTAACACACCACAGCACTCTACCAAAGGTGATCAAGTGACACTTTTTCTCAAAAAAAACAAAAAAAGAAATTCACATATGAAAATATTGGCCA